CATGGTGCACCTGGGGTTCCTTGTTGGGGGATCTAACTCAGGACCTTGTGCTTGCCACAAGATAGGTGCTTATGTCTCTGAGCTATCTCCCCAGCCCCTCACTGTATATTTTGGTCACGCTTCTATGTCTGAGAACTCTTAATCTCAGGTAATTAGGATTTTTTTCTTTTACTTTTGAACTCAGACCCTTGCACTTGCCAGGCAAGCACTTATTCTACTGAGCCATCTCCCCAGGCCCCTTTTACTTTTGTTTAAATGTCAATTTTATTTGACATTTAAGTATGTGACCCATCTTAATTTGTATAAGCTGTGAAGTTTAGATGGAAGTTCATTTTTTTTTAAATATGGCTATTTGTTTCAAAATTACTGGTCAAACAGCAATGAAAAACAAGGCAAAAAATATGAAAAAAGCCAGGTGTGATGATACATGCCTGTAACCCTAGCACTTGGGAGGCTGAGGCAGGAGGATCACCATGAATTTGAGGCCAGCCTCAGATACATAGTGGGTTGAAGTGTGTGGAATGCTATGAGACCTTGTCTCCAGGAAACAAACCGATGATAGAATTGAAAAACAAAATTGTTGCAAAGATCATCCATACCCCATTGATTCGTCCATTGGTGTAGTTATTACCTATTCTTTGATCAATACCATAATGCTGTGATTATTCATTTTTTTATGTAATTGGTACAGGGTCTCACGACGCAGTTGACTCAGAGTGATCCTCCTGTTTTTTCAGTCTCCCCAGCACTGGTATTACAGGCGTGCGCCTCCACAGCCAGTCTCTGGCCAGCTCAGAGTGTCCATGGGCAGGGCCAGGGCCGCACATGGTGCTGGAGCTTAAACCCCAGTCACTGTGCTTGCCTATGCAGGTGCTTAGTCCACTGAGCTATCTCGCTGGCCCTATCGTGAGTCTGAAAGTTGGGTAACAAGATTCAACTTTATTCTTTTTCAGAGGTGTTTTGGGTGTTTTCTTTATCTTTACATGTAAAATTTAGAATTAGTTTGTATCTACAAAAGTCTTGCGAAGGTATTGAATCCAACTTTGTGAATCTTACAGTACAGGGACATTTAATAACGTTGATTTCAGTCATCAGCCTTTTGTGTAGCTTTCAGATTATAAATCTTATATTTTTATTTGATTTTTTCTGAGTGTTCATTTTTTGGAGGGAACTATTGTCTTTGAAATTTGGGTATCCAATCACATTGCTAGTGTATACAAGTATGTTGGATTTGTGTTTAATTTGCATGCTGTGAACTTGATAAATTCAGTAATTATTAATAAGATCTGATGGCTTGGGTTTTTTTTT